GCAGCAGTAGCAGCAGGAGCAGCGCGGGCACGGCAGCGCGGCTCAGTAGGGCAGTGCGGCGCGGCTCGGTAAGGCGGCGCGGCTCGGCTGGGCGGCGCGGCTCGGCGGAGCGGCGCGGCTCGGCTGGGCGGCGCGGCTCGGCCGGCAGGCGGCGCGGGTAGCGCGCGTAGGGCAGGTGCTCACCAGGGGCGGGCAGGGCAGGCGCGACGGCGGGGCCGCAACGGCGGCGGCGGCCGCGACGGTGAGGCCGCGACGGCGGCTGCAGGCGCGACGGCGGCAGGGCAGGGCCGCGACGGGTGCTGCAGGCGCGACAGCGGCAGCAGGTGCGACGGCGGAGACGGCAGGGCCGCGACGGCGGCTGCAGGTCAGGGGCCGCGACTGCTGCGGCAGATCAGGGGCCGCGACGGCGGCTGCAGGTCAGGGGCCGCGGCGTGGGGCGGCAGGGCAGGGCCGCTACGGGCGGCTGAGGCAGGCCGCGACGTGGGGCGGCAGGGCAGGGCCGCGACGTAGGGCGGCAGGGCAGGGCCGCGACGGGCGGCAAAGGAGGGCCGCGACGGGCGGCGGGTCAGGCCGCGACGGGCGGCGAAAAGGCAGGGCCGCGACGGGCGGCTAGGTCAGGGCCGTGGCGGGCCGTTAGGGCAGGGTCGCGACAGGCGACAGCAGGGCAGGGCGCGCGACGGCGCAGGTGAGGCAGGCGCGACAGCGCGCTTCGGGCAGGTAGGAAAACAATTTCGTGGTGGGCCCTTAAAAAAAAATCGTTCCCACTAGGGAACCTGCTCTGAAACCATGTGAAAGTAAAAGCGAGGAATGAATGAACTAGCAAGCAGGTGGGTACAAGTAGGAAAACCTAGAAGTGTTGTACCCCATATGTTTGACATACATTCCCTTGTTTGACTGTTTTGCAGGCATTGTTACAGTTGCAGTGACTATTGCGATCCTTTACGGTTACCATGATGCAGTGCGTAACCTCCGATTACGGTTGCGGGGTGGTCTACAGTCGCGGCCGTTGACTTTCCGCGGCTGTTGCCGTTCGTATGCGTGCTCTTGTATGAGCTAGCGCGGTACTGGTACAATGCGATGCTTGGAAATGAAGCAGTGCGCAAAGGGAGAACCTTCGGGAATGTTCAATAACCCTTGGTTATTCCAACATCCTCGCTAGTGTGGGACTCTGCAAATCAGAGGGCTGCCTTATTTGGAAGGTGGGAGAGTGTAAGGAATTGTAATTCCTTACTGTACTCGCACTTTAGCAAGTACAACCTGAGGGCCACCCGTCAGTTCGGTTCGGCCTATTTCGTCGCCCCAAATCACTCCCGAGTCGCCCCCGCTCCAATCGCAACCTTCTCCGAGCCATCTTCGCCCGACCTCCCCGCCTAGCTAGGAATTCCTCAAAATCCCGTCACTTTCATTGTATCGTCAGACTTTGTAATAACATTCTCGATATTCGTTTTTCGTTGCGCACTCTGTAAGTTCATTCATAAAGGATTGCGGTAATCTCATCGATGCTTATGCTATGACGTATAACAGAAATGCAAAATTAAAGAAGAAACTACAACTATGTCATATAAATGAAGACCTATGCAAGATACAGCGAGGGGTCTTAGCAAGGCGGGGACCTTGGAACCCGAGTTTGGGAACAATTTTGGGCAATCGAAGTCTGAAAGCGATGCGATGCAGCCTCGGAAGGCAAGGAATTCAGGCCGAACCTCTCATTCCAACCGCAGAGGTTGTAGCGTAAACTCCGTAAGGATTTGGGGAGGGGCGTTAAACTATGCCTTCCCCATTTAAGGAAGGTGGCGCCCTCGCTTGGCGAAGCCGACTTCGCTGACCGGTGCTCAATGTGTTCAGCTGGCCAAGCTTCGTGGTTGGCGCCGACTTGGAGAGTGAAGTTGGGGGGTTTGGACAGCCGACTTCAGCAAAGCCGACCACGGTGAAGCCGGTCTTCGCGAAGCCGACCACGGTGAAGCCGTACTTGGTGAAGCCGACCACGGCGAAGCCAGCTACGGCGAAGCCGACGAGACGGTGGCCGACGAAGTGAAGTCGGCGAACAGCGACGAGCCTTGACATTCGACAAAGGTGATCGTCGAAAGCGCCGATCAACTAACGTCAGCGGCATTGACTTAGTGGCCTTCTTCTGGTCGACCAAGTAACCGGTCGGTGAAGTTCTGCGTGGGCGCGCGAGCTTCGCCCCAAGGCGGTTTTGGCGAAAGTCAACCTGCAAGACGAGCATCAAGTGCTCTACAACCCAGCACATGCGCAATGTGCATCACATGCACGACGTGCACGCAACAGTCTATTGAGCCAAACTGTACCTGCTTTGGTAGGTGCGCAAATGTGCGCACATGTTCACCTTCGACTGTAGTGCTGGCAGGCCGCCTTGGTGCAGCGTTGGCATGCCGCCATCTTGCGGCGTTGGCAAGCTGCCTTCGTGCTGCACTGGAAGCTGACTTGCTAGGTTGCTAGGTGTTTTGCGATGTGTTCCTCCTATATCGACTTTGTCATGCCATTGTAACCTTGTTGTTCTTTTCTTCGTGAAACTCTTGCCAGATTCACCTACGAGAGCCGCAAGTAGTGAGAACGTAAGCAACGCTCCGATCACCCCGTACAACCCGTGACCTCCAACGTAGTTCAACTCCCGTTGTAGAGTGACCCTCCGCAGTCCTGTCGTCGTCAAATGCACGCATGTCAACAAATTAATGAATTACTGGACGAGGACATACAAGGGGGTATATGTAGAAACCCATACCCTCTACAGTACAACCCAACCTAGCCTAGAAAGTAAACATGCATGTATATATGTATATATATATGTGTACGTTGACACATTAGGCTAGATAACGGGCAGAGCCTATAAAATGAGAAACAACTTAGGGCGTCACTACTAGTACAGCCTCTGAGGCAAGGAGCGACAAGGCCAGTCAGTAAGAACAGCAAAGTGTGTGAGATACAACTCAGGGTGGTACTACTAGTCTAGCCTCTGAGACAAATGGCCACAAGGCCAGTCAGTGAGTATAATTACCCAAAATCAAGCGTAGTACAGTGTACAGAGATGAAGATCCTAACAAGTGAGGTACTGTTGGGATAAGGCCAAGTTGTGTGCAGAGCCGCTGATGATCACGAGGCGGGAGTGCCTTCGTGAGATATCAGTAGTGTTGGCCCCAGAGGCCAAGTGTACTACGCCTGGCTGTACTGCTGCAGCTCACGAAGCAGGAAGTATCGCAGCTGCATGTACTTCGCTCTGCCCTCTAGTCTAGGCTCATGACACAGGAGGATCATGGCTCTGTTATCAGCTAATAGGACAAGGGCAGAGCTAGGCGGCTCACCTAAGTCAGTGAGCAAGACGCCAGCCAACAAAGCTCCTGGGCAGCCATAGCGCCATTGTAGATCTCTAACTCACAGCTGGACTGAGCCACCGACGACAAACGAGTGGACCTCCATAAGACCGCTCATGCGCCAAGGCTGTAGCAGTAGCCCTGAGGGTACTTGAGGGTCTCAATGTCGTCTGCCCACGACGCGTCAGTGTGTCCCGTAAGTGCAACAGGCTGTCGTCCTCTAAGCACAAGCCCCATGCCTTATGTACTAGCCATATAGCGCAATACCCTCTTAGCAGCCGACCAGTGCTCAGGTCGGTGTCTCCCAGTCGCAACAAAGCGAGCAAGGATGCTGCGATTATATGCGAGATCTGGTGGTGCAGATCATCAGGCATAGGAGGCACCCCAAAAGCTCTGCGTATTAACCACTTGCTTAACAGGCTCGTCAGGGACAGGGGCCAACAGCGTATGACCCAACATGCAGAGGAGTGGGTTGCGAAGAGGAAAATTGAAGGTCGAAGCACTGGAGGATCGGTTGCACTATGTGTGACCGAGTGAGCGTGATGGTGTGCTCGGCTCTGTCCCTGATGATATGTATCAAGGCATGCGGGCGCGCGGTAATAGGGCGCGGTAGGGCATGCGCTCGGTAGGGCTTGCGGGCACGCGGCAGCTGGGCGCGCCAGGGCGCAGCAGGGCGCGCTGTAGGCGCGCGGCAGGGCATGCTGCAGGCGTGCGGCAGGGCGCGCAGCATGGCACAGCAGGCGTGCAGTAGGGCGCAGCAGGCGCGCGGTAGCGGCAGTCGCGCTGCAGCAGCATCGGTGCGCGACGGCAGCGGCGGCGGTGGCGTGGCAGCGGCACGCGGCATGCGCAGCGGCGGGGCCCGCGACGGGGCAGCGATGGGGGCGAGACGCTAGAGGGGCGCAACGGGCGCACCTAGAGGGGTGCAATGGCGCTGCTAAGGGGCGCACTAGCAGGGGGGCGTGAGGGCACTGCGGTTAGCTAAGGGGGGTAGGTGGGGCGGAAGCGATGGTCATACCTTAGTGTGATACCATGTCAACAACATAAGAAGTGACTAGAAAGGGGCACACAGTCTATAGGGGGGTAAAAGTAGCAACCCATACCCTCTAGACCCAACCTAGCCTAACAATCTACACATACAAAATGTATAACTGTACATTGACAACCTGACCACGAAATGGAGTAAGGTATCAAATTTTCCGCGTACAGTAGAGCACATGCCCGACACGACACAACCATTTCCATATCACTACCGCCTCGCGATAATCGCTTTGACCACTGTTCGCGCCATTGCGCCCGAGCCACACGCGTTGCCTAGTAACCCAAAGTCCGGCCCTACGCCTTGGACATTTCCCAACCTCGGCGGCGCCGTTTCCCAACCTACGCCTTCTTCACCCGTAACGTATAGCCTCTTTGCTTTCCCATTAAAGTTGTTCATGCAACTTTTCTGAGTTGGATGCAACTTGTCCATGCAGCTTTGCTAAAATCAGACAAATGGTGGATGCAACTTGCAAGACTAATCTCACTATCTTATAACACATGCAACAACAGACCTTGCTTTGTAACAAAACATAAACCTATCAAGACAGACAATTAGCCTGAAAAACTATGAGCCCTTAATGAGCTCCATACAATCGAGCGATTCCTGGACTACCATTTGAGTCCCAACACTGTCTATCTAACAGGGCTACAAATATTTGCAGCAGCTGAAGTGGTGGCGCGGGTGTTGCACTGAGAGGAGATGGGATGGTAGAGGGGGCCGGTGTAAGTGCTGGCCCACGTGGCCGCATCGGCATAGCCGCTGTTGAAGAGCCCGTCCCACACGTCATCCTCTGCGGGCTCCAGAGCCCAGGAGAGATACTGATGGGCGGGGTGGACAGGGGAGACACAGATGAAGGACAGCTGCGTGAAGCTTGCCATTACAATCTAAAGATCTCACACGCTTAAGAGGATGGTGAGGGCTATGCGGGGCACTTGATTGGGGCAGCCATACCTGTCTCATAGTCCAGTTGTTATTGAGCGTGTTCATGTCAGGGTCAATGTCAGTTCCTGTCAGCCCATAGCCACTCGCTGGGAAGGCACACACACGCACCTGCACAGGAGGGAGAGAGGGAGAGAGAGAGAGAGAGAGAGAGAGAGAGAGAGAGAGAGAGAGAGAGAGAGAGAGAGAGAGAGAGAGAGAGAGAGAGATTTGGTACAAGTCGTTACAAGCAGCACTGGCGAAGAGTGTGCGGAACCATGAAAGCATGGAGAAAGTACAGTCTCGCATGTCTAGCACCAACAGGGACGTACGGTGTGCTCGCTGGCAGTGGGCGGGATGAAGTGCGAAATGCCACCATCCACACACGTGCGGTTGCGGAAGGAAGTGGTCGCCCGGGGTTCCAAGTACCTGCGCACCAGACATGGGAAGCACACGATCCGTCAGCCCTGCCACCATGCCCTCCTACTTTGCATCACAAGGGAAGTTCAACCCACGACGCACGGCAGAACAGCACCTATCCCACCCCCCCCCAGCCCCCGTCCCCTGTGCCCCTCAGGCGTGCACGATGTCTCACCCGGGCACGAAGGAGGAGGTGATGAGCGCGTCGATGAGGTCCTCCTTCGACTCGAACGCGTCCACCAGCCACCCGCGCGGCGACCCAAACACCTGCGTGATCGCCACTGCACGCAGGGGCGTGGGGAGAGTCGCAGGCGGAAGACAACGGGGAAGACGTTAGTGATAAGAGGAGAGGATGGAGAGATGTGACGGTGCACGGGGCACGGAAAAGTGCTGTCTCCGAGGCTTGCTGAAAGGTGACGGGGCAGGAAGCGGGTGGGAAGGGTGGGTCACCTCGGATGCGACCGGAGCACTTGATGTGCGCGTCGTCGGGGAGAATGCGGTTGAGCACTCCTCGCAGCAGCACCCCGATGCGGAACGCCGTGCCGTTCTTCCGGCAGTCGGCGGCCACCAGCTTGGCGAGCGGCATCAGGCTGCGCGGCTCCACACCCGTCGCCACCACCGCGCTCACCAGCGCGCCCGCTGACGCGCCCGCTAGGGGGGTCGACTCCTGCGCGGAGGGGACGAGACAGTCGGGTTTACGGCAAGGGATAGGCCAGATGAGACAAGGCGCGGGAGGAAAGTGCGGGTGAATGCAAGCAAGCAGCAGCGCGGCGGAAATTCTAGCGGGAACTACTGCTGGCGCGCAGGTGCTTGTGACAGGCGCGGCGACTGCAGAGCCATACCGTGATGTAGCCATGGTCCAGCAGGTATTGCGCCACGCCCAGGTGGTACGGGAACAGCAGCCCCGCGGCCGAGAAGGAGAACCCGGGCTCGCCCAGCGAGTCGCGCCGGCGGTCTTCCGCGTCCACGTCCATCTGCCGCTGCGCCCACACCATGTGCGGGTCCAGCCCGTCCGCCACCACGTGCGCCACGCGCGCACCCCGCCCGTCCCCCTCAGTGATCCCTTTCCGAAACGCCGCCACAGCAGCTCGCTCCGCGGCCTCCTCCGTGCTGTCGTCCTCCTCACTCCCCGTCCTCTCTCCGCACCCGTCCGCGTGCGGATTAGCGGGCGCGCGGAGTCCGCCCCACGAGCCACTCAGCTTGCGGATGAGCGACGCTGGGGACAGCTCGCGACGGGTGCGCGTACTTGTTGTTCCCTTCGCAGCGGCGGCGGCGGCGACGGCGGCGGCGGCGGCGGCTGTGGCGGCAATAGCGGCGGCGGAATTGGAGTCACTGGCGGTGTGCACTGCTGTGACGGCGAGCGGCCATCTCGCGCCGAGACAGGCGAAGAGGTGATCGCGAGCCGTGGACTTGAACTGCCACCAGTCGGACACGAGCACGGAGTAGTTCACGAGGAACGACACCAGCAGCGACGACGTCAGCCGCGCCGAGCCGTTCAGCATGGGTGCCGTGAGCGGCTCCGCAGCAGCTGCCGCCTGCGAGTGAGCGATGGCGCTGGCGCGATGGAAATTGCTTTCGACGGTCGCGACGACGGGAATCGGGCAAGGGACGATTGCAGGCAGGGGCAGTGCGTTTAGGCCCAGAAGACCCTCGCTACTGCCACTACTGTCGCCCCCACTGGTGTTTTTACCATCCCTACTTCCCTCGCTCGTACGCCGTCTGCCTTTCATGAAGTGTCTGAGGGCTTTAAGTGGGCGTATGTGGCGGGAGAGCTGTGTGGCCATGTACTCGAGAGCCGCCATTGTGACGGTGGTTGCGCGCACATCGGCGGGTGACGCTGCTGGGAGAGACGCGACGGAAGGAGGGCAGAGCGCCGCATTTTGGTGGTAGATGGACGAGCTGATCGCGCGGGCGTTCATGGAGGCCTTCTGCGCGGACTCGAGGAAGTATGAGGCGAAGGACGATGGGGCTCTTGCGATGCACTCCATGGCGGAGATCGCGAACAGACTAAGGAATGATCTTGGTGCCTGGTCACTAACGGTCAAGTAGAAACGACCTGCTGGTCAGAATGAAGCGACATACGAAGCAATTTAGAGCTTCGAGCTTCAGTGTCCACGGTAGAGCCTCGGATTGGGAGTTTGTGGTGAAGTTGGAGCTCGGATCAGGCCGAGATATCTGACTCGACAATGTAGCCGTGACCAGCGCGGTCCAGTGTCTATGCACACACAGGGATCCAGCTTGGCTGGTCGAGAGAGAACAGAGCAAAGCACACAAATGTGGATGGATTTCGGTGTTTGTCGTGACGCAATGTTGGTTTCCTCCAAACCCAATGCCCCCACGCGCTTTGCTCCCAATCGTGCCGAGCCGCGCCCGATTTGGGCGCCAACCTGGGTGCATGTCAATTGCATGGGAATGGAGGAGGGGAGGCTTCCTTGGGCTGGGAGGAGAATCTGATTGGGTGAGGAGTAGGGACAAGTGCCACCGCAGCGTTGGAAAAGGTGGGAAAAGCGTCCAACGATCCGCGCGACGCGGACCTTGCACCAGCCTACATGGGGACGCGTTTAATTTGATAGGTGGGCAATTGATTGCGGTGCGGACAGACGAACTCCGTCTGTCTCCGTCCCCTCGAACCTCCTCCCAGACCAAGCCAGGTTTGGGGACATTGTGATTGGATCATCAAAGACAACCGGACCAATCCCCTCTCAAAACGTTCAAACCACATTTGAAAACGGGCCCCAGACCTAGGTTCGAGAGACCAGACCAGAAGATTGGTTGAAGGCAAGAAGCGGAGGACGGAGCCAGACTGCTCAGCACCGATGGCGCCGCACGGTGGGAGGGGTGAACACAAAGGTCTTGCAGCCGAGGTCTACGGTACTACCTAGACCCCCTAGTGATGGCGGTGGGGGACACACATTGGCATTGGCCACGCCGAAACCAGTCGGTGAAGCAAATTCTAAAGGCTTTGTGAGGAATGCAATATGGGGTCTGACTTAAGGATATGCTTGTTTGTGTGGCATTGTGTTACAGAAAATTGCACCAAAATGGCAAACGGATCAATGTGTGAAACTCCAAGCTCTCAAAGCACAGAGAACCAGACGAGGTGACGGTGTGGGTCGCTGTTAGAATATATAGTTATATATATTTATGTACCTACCTGTAGCTGTAGCTTTAGTGTAGCTATAAACTTGTTGTGTTGGTGGTGCACCCAATTGCCTTCTCCTTGCCTATATCTTTGTATGCCCTCCATTATTCAAGACTCTCTTTGGCCAAACTTCTTTCTCGATACCATCTCCAAAACCCTAGCTCCTAATCTCCTAAGCTCCTACTAAGTTCATCTCTTAACATGCTATCATAGCAGGTTCTATCCTAGAACCTTCCCCTTTATTTTAAGGATCATGGGCCCACCCGCCGTCGCGCAGCCCGTAATGCGCCCCGCGGGTCCCCCGAGTCGCCCCATGGACGACCCCCGCGGGTCCCTCGTTTCGCGCCTTGAAGGCCCCCCGTTTCGCGCTCCGAAGGCCTGCCCGAATCGCGCCCCGACGGCCCCCCGTTTCACGAGCGCCGCGTCGCCCCGTCGTTCACGCCAGCGCGCACGCCAGTGCGCCGTCACCTGCGCCCAGCGCACAGCCCGCCAGCGCGCAGCGCGCGCGCCACCAGCCTGTGCCACCCGCCAGCGCGAGCAGCGGCTGCAGCAGAGCGTGCCGTCTGCCAGCAATAGCGGCGCTGCCCTCCCTCCCCCTGCCGCCGCCTCTGCCGTGGGGGGGGGAGATGGGGTTGGTGGCCGTGAATGGGGGAGGCGGGGGTGGATGAAACCGCCTCCCCTCTCTCCTCTCTCTCCCTGCAGCCGCTATCGCTGTGGGGGGGGGGAGGGGAGGGTGAGGGGGTGGCGTGAAAGTCCAGCAGCAGCCCCTTTCGCTCCATCTCTTACCTTCCAGCCTCACATTTCCTCCTCCTCTCTCCTCTCCGTTTTCCAGCTGCTTCCTCCTCCATTTGAATGCTCCTTCAGCCGTCTCCGCCGCTGGGGGGGGGGAGAGTTTGGAGAGGTTGGAAGGGGGTGGTCGTTGTGAAGCCTGCAGTCCCAGTCGCCAGTGAGCCCGTTGCTCAAGTCGCCCGTCGGGTCAGTCGCTCTAGCCGTACGAGCGGAATGCTCCAGGCGTACGAGTCAGTTACCCCTGTGCCCGAGCGCCAGTGCTCCAGTAGCCCGTGGACTGGCAGCTTCAGCCGTCGCCCACCTCCTCCTCTCTCTCTCCCTCTCTCTCTCTCTCCTCCTCCTCGCTTGTCCTCCCCTGCTTCCGTTGCTCTCTACCATGGTGTACCTCTTCAGGGGGTGTTGCTGCACAAGCTCCTGCTGCAGGCAGTTACGGGGGTGTGTTAGAATATATAGTTATATATATTTATGTACCTACCTGTAGCTGTAGCTTTAGTGTAGCTATAAACTTGTTGTGTTGGTGGTGCACCCAATTGCCTTCTCCTTGCCTATATCTTTGTATGCCCTCCATTATTCAAGACTCTCTTTGGCCAAACTTCCTTCTCGATACCATCTCCAAAACCCTAGCTCCTAATCTCCTAAGCTCCTACTAAGTTCATCTCTTAACAGTCGCATCTGCATCAATGACACAAAGCTGACATGTAGTGACAATTTTATGCACATAAAGATCAACCTACAGACCTTCAAACCACCTTACTTCAATAGGAGGAAGGGTTATAATTTACGACTATGCGGGAATACATTGTGTTACAATCCTAAATAGGACTTAGCCAGGGATCGGCTCAGGGTTGGTCGCAGGTAGTTTGTTGCAGCGGAAGTATTGATATCAGGTCCGAGTGAATGTAAATGTCAGAAATAACGTGCAGGAATGATAGACTAGAAGCATGAGATGAGTACAAGTACTAGGTCTAACCCTAAAGTGTTGTACTCAGTAGAGGCTTTGTAGTGTTGTAATCCTACAGATATACGAACGCAGTTTGACACACCCCCATAGGCAAAGTGGGGGATAGCAAGAACAACCAACGGTCACAAGACCAGTCAAGCAAGAGAACAAAGCAAAGCAAAGCTCATGGTGGATCTCAAGATCACCACGCAGTCTCAGCACAAGCAAGCGGCCACACGGCCAGTTCACATGCGGAGTTATAAAAGCACAAGCAGTACAGTGATCACAACCTAGCAAGATCAAGCATGCATGTATATATATATATAGATCACACTACAAGGCAAAGTCAAGCAGTAAGCAAGAGAGGCCGAGTAGGCACAATGCCTAGAGCAGTGCAGAAACGCTGATGATCACCAGACGCAAGGGCCTTGGTGAAGACATCAGCAGTGTTGGCCCGAGAGGCCACGTAAGCAAGGCGCAGCTGACCACGTTGCCGCAACTCTCGAGCAAGAAAGTAACGAAGAGCAATGTGCTTCGTTCTGTGCTCCAGTCTCTGCTCCCGACACAAGGCAATCGTGGCCTTCTTGTCGACGTACAGAACTGGAGGAGAACGAGGCCGCTGACCCAAGTCGGTCAGCAAGTAGGTCAGCGTAACTCGTGTGCAGCCACGGCCCCAGCGTCGATCTCTACCTCACAGCTGGAACCAAGCACAGAAGACGAACGAGTGGACCATCACGAGACATAACCAGAGCCGATACTGAAAGAGTAACCCTGGGACGACCGCTGAGTCGCCTGGTCGTCGGCCCAAGAAGCGTCGCAGTGTCCTGTGAGTACCACTGAACCCCATCCTCCAAGCACGAGCCCCATGCCCGATGTACTGCACAAGTAACGCAACACCCTCTTAGCAGCCCGCCAGTGCTCTGGTCGGTGTCTCCCGGGCGCAACGTAGCGCGCCAGGATGCTGAGAGGGTACACGAGGTCAGGTCGAGTGCACGTCATCAGGTACATAAGGCAGCCCACAAGCTCTGGATACTAACCACTCGGCTCTACGGACTCGTCCAAAGGTGGAGCTGAGAGCGAGTGGCCTGTAGGCAGAGGAGTGGACTGTGGCGAGGAGAACTCGAAGACGAAGCGCTGAAGGACCTGCTGCACCATGTGTGACTGAGTCACAGTGATGGTGCGCCTTGCTCTGTCCCGGGTGATCTGCAAGCCAAGATAGCTGCGCAGCTCGCCTAGGTCATTGCAAGTGTGCCTCTTCTGCAGCGCCTCAGTGTCGGCAGTAGCAAAAACCAAGTCGTCGACGTACACGAGGATGTAGAACGGCGGCATAGTAGGGTCGGTGCGCAGAAACATCGACGGGTGAGCAGTCGAAGGAGCAAACCCAAGAGCCGCAAGCGTCGTCCTCGGTGTGTCGTGCCACTCGCGGTGAGCCTGGCAGAGACCGTAGACTGGCCGCCGGAGGCTCCACTGGGTACCCTCAGGAAACGACCCAGTGAAGCAAGGTGGGCGGCGCAGCCAGATCTCCTCGTGAAGGCTGCTCTTCAAGAAAGGTGTGGAGAAGTCGAGGGAGTGCAGCTCGTAGTCACGCTGTGCTGCAACGTGCAGTAACACCCGAAGAGTAGTCATCTTCGAGGTGGGGGAGAAGGTATGGAAGAAGTCGACCCCCTGTCGCTGACTGAAGCCTCGAGCACCGTAACGCGCCTTGAAGGCAGGCGGAGAACCCGGCGGCCGCTTCACTCTGAAAATCCACATGCCATCGACTATGTTCGCCCTAGGAGGGGGAACCTCGTCGACGTAAGTGCCTGTGGATTTCCAGGAAGCCATCTCTGCGTCCATGCCGCTGAGAGGAGTACTCACCTGTGATCACCTCTGCGTGAGTGTGCGGGATAGGGATGTCAAGTGCATCCGGGTCTTCCTCAGGGCAAAGCAGCATGGACGCGAGACGAGGTAAAACGGCCGCGAGGCACTCGAGCTCACATTGCTTGTCCTCAAGGACGTCACTGCCAAGGGATGGCTCACCCCGACGGACGGACGACAGTCAGACTCAGATTGAGTAACAAGACTCGCAACGTAGTAAAGACGACAGGTAGCAGTAAAGTCAACGAGCTAAGTGACTA